AGACTCGTGTTCACCATGAGACTCCAGCGAAGGGTCGCTTGGAACCCCAAGTTCTATAGGCAGCTCGGCCCAGCGAAGAGTCGCTGGGAACCCCAAGTTCTAAAGGCAGCTCGGCCCAGCGAAGGGTCACAGGGAACCCCAAGTTCTAAAGGCAGCTCGGCCTAGCGAAAGGTCACAGGGAACCCAAGTTCTAAAGGCAGCTCGGCCCAGCGAAGGGTCACAGGGAACCCTAAGTTCCAAAGGCAGCTCTACCTAGCGAAGGGTCACAGGGAACCTCAAGTTCCAAAGGCAGCTCGGCCCAGCGAAGGGTCACAGAGAANTCAAGGAGTTCATTCAACTGATAATTAACTGTTCAGAACCCCTCTGCCACTGAACTAACTAATCTGAAATTAGTTGGACGATTGCATACTTCTATGGGATAGTTTAACATGTATGTTTTCATGCATTTATGGTAATCAAGTTTAGTATATTACAAACGCATGCAAGACCACATTCGGAGAACGACGCTAGATATCTCCGAAATGTACTGAGGGTAATTACACAAGACAAAATGACAACACAGGATCGTCCAAACAAATATTTCATTATGCACTGGAAAGTTCACTCAGTAAATAGGCGACCAATATAAAAGGAACGGCATGGTAAAAACGACCGTTGACAGGAGCTTTCGGATGCAACCATTTATTATGCCTATAAACTCTCCTTAATTTGAGAGAAAGAAGCAGCTTGAGCGTGACGAAGAAATTTATCAGCTCACCCAGAGCAGTAATTATCATGGGTATACATGAAGAACTGATGCTCGTAGTTCACCCGTGCTGCACAGTGAGCTTTAGTTCGGTTGCTTTCCTCGCCTAGTCCTAACTGGTAGAGTGGTAGAGTGCAAAGACGTAATTATGATGTATAAGTGTTGAACTGAACAGCGAGTTGCGCACACGATCTTTGTGAGCTTCTGACGATTAAGGGCAAGAGACCACACGAGAGCCTGATAAAGGTTGCCATCAAATGGGAGATCAAGCCTTGATCACCGGAGAGGCTCTAACGATGGCAATTTGCATGCAATCTCCTGATCACGCGCAGTACAACTAAACAAGAAGAAGCGAAGATGGAAAAGAGAACGCTAATATGCTCAAGAAAAGCTGAATATTTTCAGGCTCGGATATTTGACTTTCAGGTGGTGCCTGTTTTGCCCATACTAATACCAAGAGAAACGGACCCTTCCATAATTAGTATAATAAAACAATTTACCTAGATCAAGGATAAAGTAGTAGTCAAACAAATAAATTTTGAATTAATGTAATTATTCTGAATAAATTTAGTCTAAAAACAATTTCCAAGCTTCTTCATAAAAGTAAAGTTTCCTGAAAGACTTAAAGCTTCTACATAATGAAGAGACTGCAAATAGTATATAAAAACAAACAACTTCAGCGCACAGTCGAAAAGCGCAAAAGTCTTTGACATCTTACGAGAAGTTTACGATGCCGATAACGAGGTTACGTCGAGAGAGGACAGTTTGCAGCAGCAGTTACATGTCTTTATCGCGATAAACGAGGCCTTTGATATCCAGCCGCACGAACTTGGCTGCCTGATTACGTCCCGTCAGCTCCTATTAAATACAAGTCGTTCAGCGACTTGAAAAAATTATTTTCAACGTGCACCAGAACAAGTAATGTTCAGGATATGGTAGAATATACAGGTCGTTAAAAAAATATTATTCATGAAATGCATAATAAACTTTATACGTCGGAAGCAGTGACTGAAATAGAAGGAAAAAGTACTTAGTGCCTAACTCAAAATCTTGCAAGTCATTACGTTGCAACAAATTTCAGAACCAGGAGGCTAACCTACAGAGTAAGCAAAAGAAATTAACAATTTTCTTCATTTCTTATTTCAAAGATCACTTCAAGTCAGAACATAGGATTGGTCAACAAAGCTTGCATACAAAACTACAAATCCTGTCTTGCATGCGAACATTTTCTAGCTCGAAGTCAGCGCTCCGACTGACCGCAGTTCAGTCACGGACTGCACACTTGCACTTCTGAGAATTTGCATATTGGATACGAGAGGAGCGGCTAGAAGCAAGCTCCTGAGTTCGTTTGCAGAGTAGACATTTTTCTCTGGTAATGCAGTCAGAAGAACTTCAAAGGAGAAATTCAGTTCAGTTGTTCCTTTGTAAACGCTCAGTGTTTTTTGCAGATAGTAATTTGATTTCACATTTATCGAAACTTTAATTAATAATTATGGACGAAAATAACCGGTGATACTCCACGTAATTATAGGACATTAGTTACAAAGCGATTATCTGTTCTTGTGAAACTACAATGAAATCATAAGTTCGCTGAGACAGGCATCACGCAACGGAATTTTGCGTGGTCATACATGAAAGATAAGACGCCGTCAGATACAAGGCAGACAGTTCAACAATATTTATTTAATGGTAATGCATAATGCAGTCTTTCACGCGTTATGCATCGTGTTCTTGTATTAGTGAGAATAAATATGGCAAGTCATTAAGTATTGAGGTCGCCACAGCCTTAGGAGGTAAGTTTGCTACATGCCATACATCAGATATTAATTAACATGGCATGAAATTCTACATGAATAATGCTACATGAATTATGTTAGACTGTGTCTAACTAACTTATGAGCATGTTAGAACTGCTCTTGTTATTAACCAGAAAGGGACACATTTTATGGAAAATATTCCATTATTTAGCAAAAAATAAAATCGAAAAACTTTGAAATTTTATTTGAAAATTTGATAGAAATATGATGTAGTAACATCAAAATGGAGACATAATAGAAGGAAATGAATCATGTCATGACAACTACAAAACCAAAATTGAATAATAAATAATTATATATAGTTTAGCTTCAAAATAAGCTGAATGTCCAGTGAACGGTACACTGAATGTCCCTCTTCATGCCAATTGGGGTAAGCAGATTTGCCTAATTGGGCATCATTGAACTATGCTTCATCTTTGCAATTATAAGTTATTAAACAAAATGAAGGTCGAGTAGTACATCTCGTTTCACTAGCACGTATCACTATCAGTCAACTAAATAGCCATTTTATTAATTCATGACAAGAAATAGTCGCAACTCGCAATTACAGGACTAAATTAACCAATCCCAAGCGTTTTTTGTGTCAATGACACGTAACGTAAGTCGCCACTCAGCAGGAACTGCCCAATGAAGTGATAATGAATGTCACTCGTCACTAAAAATCGTACGTAATATAATACAAGTCGGAATTACCATTTGTAGGGGCCAGTAGGCTCGATTGTAAGGCTTTTTATATCAAGTTTAGGAAGTAGAGCAATGTGGTTTAGTTTAGTTAATACAAAATATCGTTTCTACAGAACGCCGGCGACTTAAAAGTTAAGTAATGTGGCGACGTAAGCGACATTGACGCTTGACAGTTGACGGTAGAACATACGAATGCTAATTGTAATTTCAAACAGAAAAATATTTTCGTAGATGAACATTTTACAAAAGGAAATAGCGCCACTAGCCATGATGAAACTCACCTTTCTCGTTTGAGTAATTGCAGATATTGCATGAACGTCGTGGACGTGATGCAGACCATTACTGAGGCAATTGACACACATCGACACTTTACATTGGAGACAAAACATGGACAAAGTTTCCTGAGGATGAGTCGTGCACTTAACGTCAGTCTCCCTGCGTCTTTCTCTGAGCAAACTACGTCCTTCGGCAACGCTTAGCATGATGTGTGCAGCTAAAGGCCCTCTTTTGGGATGACACGTCTCCCTACAATTCTCACAATAAAAAACAGAACACTGGTCGCAAAAAAGTGAAGCGTCGTGCCGCACGTCTGATGATCCGTCACACATCTGACACTTTTCCGGCAAAGCAGAACGCTGCCGAAATTTGTCGACCAGTATTTCCATGATTTTATAGCGTGGTAAGCTATGTGCCCCTCCATCGTCGAGCTTATTTATTACAGAACATTGCGGGCATACTAAGGTAAAGGCCGGTGAATTATTGTTCTCGGCCGAGTGCGAAGATGTGTCACTTGCATTGGAGCTCCCGCTGTTCCCATCAGGACCAACAAGGCTCGTAGGGCGAGAAGTGCACGACACTCCTGAATCCGTATCACTAAAAACAGACACTTTATCTACCTCGCCAGGGCTCTCTTCGTCTCTGACAGAACATGGCTCCTGTAATGTTACCGCACAAGCTAAACATAAGCTGTGGTTACATCCTAATAGCACGGGCACGTGGTACAAGATACCGCAATGCGGACACGTTAGCTCCACCTCCATATCTGCGAACGTCTGAAGCAACACTGGCTGCTATCGCGCTCCAGTGGTTAGGTTTTGAACTCAGCAGGCACGCGGCAGCAACAGCACTAACGACAGCATCAAGGATGCAAGGGCGGATAACTGGGAATAGCCCAGCGCGCTAGACGGCGCGGCGCTGGCGCAGCAGTTGCCACTTCGACTTTTTCTGACCGAAATTTCTTCGGCCAGTAAAATACACAATTCTTCATTCGGTGGCTAAACTTTTTTTCCAGGAGGCAAATTTATACAGTAGAAAAACTTATCCTAGCAGCATGTCTGATGGTTGAGAAGCTACAACATGATTGCAGTAATTTAAAACCCTATCTGGATTCTTTCATCAATATTTGTAGCACGATTAAAATTCTCCCAAGGAAGTAACCACAGAATTTACTCGCAAGTTTATTGTGCTACTGAAGCATCGATTTACTGCGGCGCATACGTTTTGTTCTTGCCAAGCGTACGTGCGTTTCAAGTGACAACGAAATCAGTGCAATAGCTCTACCGAAGGAACGATACTAGAAATATTAGTATATGATTTGATAGTAGTAGAAGCGTAATGTAAGTTCGAGTCGAGATTACTGCATCTACTTTAATTTTTATACATTTCGGGTACCGTGTTCAGGCAGCAAAGCTAAATAAATACACACATTTTATAGGATAAGTGAAATGCAGTGAAGTTATTGCACATTTACTTACTAGAGCTCCCAGTGCGGAGTAGCATTCAGGATGGCATCACTCACCACGGAGAATGTGGTCACTACCGCGAGACTAGAAGACTGCGACCGGTATGCTCAGAAAAACTATACTAATTCAGAGATTCACATAAGTTATCTGGATAATTCCCTAAATGCTTAGTTCTTCAACGCGGATGAGAAACAATATCTGCGATACGCGTTTTCCTTCACGAGATTCAAACTTCTCTACCACTTTTTGCCAAGTAGTACGGTGACAATTAAATTATTATTTATCAGTTGTAACCACAACAGAATGGAAAATAAGACTAATTATAATAAATAACACAAAGACACATATAGAGGATTTACACTAAAATCGTAGAACTGAAATAGTTTTAGAGGTAATACGTATAAAATCTCTCCCCTTTGTCAATTAATCCAGCACACGTACAGGAAACGTAGACGAGCTGGCAACAAAAAAGCGTTTGGAATGTATCGAAAAAATCTCGCTTAACAAGTGCATTAGTCAAACGCGTAGGATAGATGGAAAACCCTGCTAAATATAATAGACGAAAATTTTGAAAAATAACAGTTAGCTGCTTGCAAGATCGAATAAAGTTATTAGTAAATTAGTTCGAAATGGTACCAGCTCGCACTGGAACCGCAGAAACTAAGAGGTAACTCCATCCAGTTACCATCATTGAGGTAACTTTTTCTTGGATAATTTCATCCTACAATTCTATAATTTCAGTTCAAATGGAATTGCGGCGTTTCGTACGAATGTAAATAAATGGCAAATACACTGACCGTAACCCGAAAAATAGAACTTGAGCAAAAATTTTGCAAGTTGCTGGCAAATGATTCAAGTCGTAGGAAAATCGAGCCCGGCAAAAGATTGCACAGCAGAATCCTATTGAATTGATTGCGGCTGCAGAATCCTATTAGTTCGCATGAACAAAATAATCATCTGGAAGGACTAAATAATATACGTTTAAAAATTACTTTTTAAAGACAACACTTCTAAAGAATCCAGTGTCTCCAATGTTAAAGATGTACAATGAATTTCTCATTTTATGTTCGAAAATCAAAAAAATTAATTTTTCAAAATTTTTTAATATATAAAGTTTAGCAAAATTATTCATTCTGTCAATGATTCATGCATTGCCTCCGACTTCACACAAGTGTGCAAAATTTCAGATCAATTGGACAGGTGGAAGTGTGTCAAATTTCATTTATAAGATTTGTAGCTGACAAAATTATTTTGTCAATTTTTTTTAATATTGAAAAATTTTTTTTTTAATTTTCAAAATTATTTATTCTGTCAATTGATTCATGCATTGTCTCCAACTTTACGCAAGTGTGCAATATTTCAGATCGATTGGACAGGTAGAAGTGTGTTAAATATCGATTATAAGATTTGTGGCAGACAAACAAACAAACAACAAGAAGTGAAGTTAAAGAGAAGTGTTGTAAAAAGAAATAAGTTTTTCTTGAACAAATTTTCGAGTTAACCCTCAACTCCACCGACCGCCTTACCATTTCAAGAAAATAGTTTAGCAGTAAAAGTTACGTCGTAATGACCGCTAGAATATATGATAACTCTTGGTCCCAGACAGAGAACCTCGGTCTTGCATTGAGAATATTGCCTTTAACATTATTCAACCATTGCTTAGAAAACTATACAATTAATTACATGGCTATGGAAAACTTCATCAGTTGACTACGGAATAATAATTACTGCCAAAATTAATCAGCTGCTACCAAAATTTAATAATCAACGTGTAAATGCTACCATTTCCTGGACTTTTTAGCGTTCTTGGCTCGCGCAGGACACCTGTAAATGTTGTGACGCACGAGTTCAATGTTGCGGCGAAAAGATTGAGAACACAGGCTGCACTGGAACGGCTTATAAGGACTGTGTTGATCTCTGAAGTGCGACAACAAAGAGCTCTGAAGTTTATATGAACAATCGCAGAAAAGACAAACGAACGGTTTTTCATTTAAAGAAGCGAGATCTGAAGCCACGTTTTGTAGCCTGACTCCCATGCGCAGCTTGGAGCCCACGTTCTCTAAGCTGTGAGCTGCCATTGACGCGTATTGCATCCCATACGGCATTGGGTTTCGGTTCTGTAAATGCTTAAGAGTATCATAAACGAGGACTGGCTTGTGGCCCACCCTCACGTGCATCTTTAGTCCAACAGCCGAGGAGCAAGCAAATGCACAATAATTGCACTGATATTTGGTATCGACCGAGATACTCTCGCGTCTCATCACACCAACCTTCAAGCGTTCCTCACCTGCAAAAATTGCAGGGTCATTATCATAAATACGAACTATGGCATCATTCGGACTATCATTAGCAGCGTTTGAAGTGTCGTTTTCATTGTTGGGGTTCGACTCGTTGTTGTTACCACAAGCATCCTTGTTTTCATCTTCCTGTTTGCCGCCGCACGAGTCTTCCAGAAGTGAAGCTTCATCAGAAGAGTAGCTGAGCAGGCCGTTCCTAGCATCACATCCGTCAGAGTCTACGGAACTACCAAAGCCTCCAACATCAGGCATGGGTTTGTCAGGGCACGAGACAGGAGTGTTGACCGAGGGCGAGGGGCCATCGTCAAGTAAGTTCTGCTTGCTTTCTGCGCACTTGTAACTCTTCAGGTCCTCCACATGAATGTCAGGTTCCACCTCCAGCATAGTCACGGTCTGGTAAAGAAACGTAGTACAATCAAAGTTGAACTAGGGAAAAAAATCACAAATAACATTGAAATATGTTCACATAAATACATGGCACTCTAGAAGAAATCCTCAAATTTCATCACAAGTCAATTACTTCAAAGCATTAATTAAGAAATGTACATTTATGTACATATAAATAAAATAAATTATGAACATAACAAATCGTATCCAACGGAGTCCAAGCAAAGCGCTACCTCAGATTCAGCCTCGCTGTTTTCAGACTCGGACGAACGACGCTCGCTGACGTCAGTTTTTCCTGCTTCTGGCGTCTCGATTTCTTCAGTTTTTGGTGCGTTCAGGCCTTCGCTGCCATTCTTATTAGCTAATTTTTTCTTCCCTCGATTTGTGTTTCTATTCCGTCGAGGGGGGATGCTGGAGCTCGCTAGGAACCGAGCAGCAGCCGCGGCAGCAGCGCTCCCGCAACGACGACACAGCAGCTTCCCCAGCTGGGGACGAAATTACGTAGTCAGAGTGAGGCTGTAATTCAATAATTCAATTATAGAGAACTTTGATATATTATAGAAAAAACAGATGATTTTCTAATATGAATTTATAGATTACTTATTGAGTTGAAACAATCAAGGCTGATATTTCCTTGCCTATACTTAGACATTTCTTTGAGAATCAACTTCAAATTTAGAGTAGGAGTATTGTCCAGCTATGTATTATATCGAAAACATTAGATGACAACGACCATATTCGCTGACAAAATTCATTTTCAACCATTATGGTGAGTTTCAACCATTTTCTCGTCGACGAAAATTTGAGGTCACGGACAGACGGACGGACAGACAGACGGACGGACGGACATGGCGAGCACAATAGTGCATTTTTTCCATAAATGAGAAAATGCGCTAAAAAGGAATTCTCGATAAAAATGTCATTTCAAACCGCAATCCATCAACGCATTTAAAACTGATTTCAAACTAAAGCTTACCCTATCTCTCTCAATCCTGCTGTAGACGAGCCCTTTTGTGTTCATGGTGAGCTGAAAACGACGCCGAATGTCGGCCTTGTTCTTCGTCTGCGTGAGCTGCGTTTCATCAACAACCTCCAGGAGGCGATAACAGCCACGGCAAACCACCTGATTATCACGGGGACAAGAAATATTAACATCAGAAATAAATACCCGGTCTATGGCGAATTGAGCACGGGCTCGAGGAATTTATCCACGCGAAACACAGTAACAAGAGCTTCATTGCAAGTAACAAACGCTCAAACTATGACGGAATGAGCGTGCGCCTCAGGAATGACCACAATAAAAGCGGTCTGAACGCCCGTAATGGAGCAAATTCAATGAAAGCGATAAGCAAGGAACGAACGTAGTGCAAAACACATAAAAGAAAAATAGTTAAATTAGGAATATAAAAATGACACAAGAAATAAAAAGGAATTTAATGAAATGAGCGTCTTGTGAGCAAAAAATATAAAAGACAGGAACTGAAATGAGCATCACCATAAGAAACAAATCCCAGGGACTGCACACTATCTTGAGAAGAAAATAACAGGGCCTGTGCACTATCTTGAGAAGAAAATAACAGGGACTGCACACTATCTTGAGAAGAAAATAACAGGGCCTGCACACTATCTTGAGAAGCAAATAACAAGGCCTGCACACTATCTTGAGAAGCAAATAACAGGGACTGCACAGCACTTTGAGAAAATGAAAACCATAACACCATAAATTTATACCAGAACTACTAATGCATGGTATGTTGAACAGAATGTTCAACATGCAAGGGAGTCCCAAACTGATCATAAGGAATGTTTCTGACAAAGCACTTGCTAAAGCACTAAATAATTAAAATAAATAATTGAACATTAGCAAACACCCAGCAGCTTAATAATTTTCTATAATCTTACAGTTAGGAGAAAAAATATTGAATAATGAAAAACAAGTCATGAAACAGATTTTTTCTTTGCATAGATCATAGCTTATTTTGGGAGAGTGATATAGGTATATACTGAAGAGACTTCATGTGTTAGCAGAAATATTGAACTTTATTTTTAACTCTCAGGTGCTATTTTAAATTGTATTTACTGCAAGTCCAACAAAAAAAATCATAGGAGAAGCACAAAATTGTTTAATTTATAGGCGAAAAACTGGGCTGAGAGTAAATGCTTACCTTTGAGTGAAGGCTGCTCATTGGTGCAAGATTGTAACCCAGAACATCTGAAAGCAGCACAAGAAGAGGTGCTCGGGAGTAAGGCATGTTAATGCTCAGTTTGATGGTGGAGTCCATGGATGACGGGTCAATGTGGTTACTGCAGATGAAACATTCATTGCTGGTGCTGCCTTTAGGAGCTCGGGTTGTGCTGCGCTGTTGAATGAATTGCTTTACATTTTATGGATCTAGGATACTTACAACCAACAACTTTTATTAATCTTGATTTCAACACACTATCAGAAATCAAGAAAAGCTCATGCATCAGTATTTATTTTTTAACATTCACCAACCATATATTTGTTTCAGAAATTTTTTAAATGGTATAAGTATATTTACATACATAGGTATATACTCCTTTACATCTTGCCGCCACACAAGTTGAAGACTTAAATGGATAATTTATTTATAAGATAATTCATTTGATTGGTAGAGAACTTCACTCACTTTCTTCTTCACTGAAGCATTCGAGCGGCTGTTTATGGGTGTAGCAGCTGCATTAGGAACTAATGTAGCTGTACAGGGGGCCATGGTATTTTTATTCATTGTAGATAAGTTATTAGAGATTGTATGCTGCTGCTGTTGAGGCTGTGGAAGTTGCTGGTGCAGCTGTGCTGGTTGTTGCAGAGGCTGTGGTTGTGGATAGCCAGGTGACAAAGTAGTCTTTGACAGAAGTGGATTGTTATTGCAGTTCAGTTCTGGCTGTTGCTGCTGCTGCTGCACAGCTTGCATGTAGGAAGGTATATGGTGCAGATTTTGAGGAACCTGCTGTTGTGGAGGTTGTAGTTGTTGCGGTTGATTAGAAAGGTTCTGAATATGAGCAACATTTGGAGCATGAGAAAGAGCAGTGTTAGTGGATACATCATGACCCACAACAGAAGGTGATGTAGTAGTAAGATGCAACAGAGCAGCATGAGGCTGTGGCTGTGATAGCAATGATAATCCAGCAAGGCGAGACTGCTGTGAGGGAGCCATGCTTGTAGCCTGGCTTGTGATGGCTGTGTATGGGTTCAGATTTGGGTGCCCAACAAATCCAGGATGTGGTATGAATGCTTGATATGCAAGAGGAGTGTTGGGAAGGTTTGGATGGCAGGATAGAGGTGGAGGATAAGATATGAGATTGGAATGTGAAGCTAGAGTTGGTACAGCAACTCCTGATGTCACAGCCATGTTATTGAAGGATATCTCAGAACAGTTGCTAACAAGGTTGTTCAAGTTGTGTAGCTGAGAATTCAATGATGAAGGAACATGGGAAAGTAATGACACTGAAGAGACTGAAGTGTTTTGTGATAAGTGTTGGGAAACCTCCATGTTCATTGGCATAGAAGACAGCTGATCAACAGCACTGTTCATATTTTCTGTCATTTTAACAGATGCAATGAAAGAGTTCTAAAAAATTGATAAATGAGAATTAGTGCATCAGAAGATTATACATAGCCAATGAGGCAAAGATGTAATAATAATGCATGTCAGGATATTATAAATTTTCAGATAATTATAATTCTTAAGATAATACAATTTTTTTAGAAAAATAAAACTAAATCCGTTTACTATTATTTAGTAGAATGTTAAGATTATTTGGGCATTCAATTGTTTGTGGCCTGCATTGTAAATACTACATAGGTTTCATTCATGTCTTCATCCACATTACCTACTATATTGTGATATTACCTACGCATCATGATATGAAATTTTATTTCAGATCTCCTTATCTGTGCTATGATGAGTTGAAGTAGATCTGAACCCCTTTTTTCTTTTCTCAACAAATTTTCTTTTTATGGTTGCTCATGGGGCACATTATTCATGGATTTAAAATATTGAAGCTTTCTATTGCCAAAACTCAAGAAGATATGAAGTTTTAGGGAATTTTATTGCACAAAATGAGCAGCCAGCATTGAAAGCAACAATGGTCACTAATACACTATGTGCATTGCTTTATGGGGTGAGGATAGGATTGAGTCATTGCACAGCCATAGCAGCCGGCATTCAACTATGTACGGTCACTACAATGCTGCATCAATGGCCATATGATGAGATGGTGATTGCATCACCACATAGTTGCAGCTGCGGCCACTGTCCACAGCAGCCTGAATTGAACTATGTATGGTCACTTATATATTAATATGTACATGAACATATACGGTATGCAGTCACTAATGCACATACATGCAATATGTGTAAACATTCATGTGCAATTGCACAGTCCATATCCGTAATTGAACTTTTTGGCACATGGCACATTTATTCTCAACATATTTTGTCACATAGCACAAATTGATAGAATGACAATATTAATTCAATTGCACCTGGCACATATTTTTGTGTATGAGCTCTTGAATTACATTGTTTGCCAGTTCAGAATCTCACAGCTGAACCTTCTTACCTTGCAAAATAAATGCTCCTTTAGCAAGAAATGAAAAAAAAAAATAGTTATGCATGCCAAGATTGAAAAAATTCCTACTTCTTACAAAGCTCCCAAGTGACATTTAAAATAAATTTGGAATCTTGTGGCATGATTATGTACTTCTGTTAACAATTAGATAAGAGGCAATTCACCTAGCAGGAATCTCACAGTTCACAAAATACCTGTAAAGCTCTAGTCACAGCTTGAAATAAACCCTAAATGCCACATTATGAGACTCAAGTTGCCACTCAGTAGAAACTGCACAGCCCTTGCTGATGTCACTAAAACCATATAATACTGGTCAAAAGTATGATTTATATGGGTCAACTGCTAAATTATAACAAAAAACAGTTTTGATTACTATGCTAGAAAGAATTAAGATGTGGTACAGTTTTGTTTATAAAATTGATGGCTTTAAATTGAACACCAGCAACTTTAGAGCAGCTTGCAAGGTTATTGGCATTGAAGATAGATACATGTCTGATTGCAGAATTGGTATTTTCAAATTCACAACCTTACTTCAAATATGGGACATAAGTTTCCAAATTGCAAGTAAACACAATTATTTCAGTGGTGATTTATTAAAATTGCAGATAAAAATAGGCTGTTTTTGTCTAGTTTTTCTTGAATAAATTGGGATAATGCTATAGCTCATAGGAACAGGTGAAATTGGCCAGATTCACAGGCATTTTGGTCCAATTCTTGGGCAGCTTCTGCCCAATTTTCCACTTAAGCTTGCTGCTAAAATCTTATGGATCTAACTTTAAGGATACAAAATTCTATTACATTAGGATTATTTGGAATGGGACTTAATTGTAAACTTTTATTTACAGATAAGAGGTATAATTGAAACATGCAAAATACAGGTCTATACTCTAGCTTCACTCGCCATAAATTGCTGGCTCCTGCCTCTCATAGTCTTTATGTAATTTCAAAAAAAGTGATGGTCTTTGTTACCCCAGCTCTTGAGGTAACTTAGACCGGGTGATAAAATCAATTATATTTTTTAGTAAAATAACTCCAAATAACTCCAGGTTTTGGTGCATTGTACTAGAACTCTTCTAGTTACATATGCAAATGACAAACTTGAGGAAAGTGTCATAGTTTGCAAATGGGGGGCGCCACCCCAGAATGAGGGAAATGTGACTACCTAATGGCAGCCCTGATGGAGTAATATTGACTGGCTTGGAAATTAAGTTATAATTACCATAGATAAGACTCTGAAACATAAAGAAAAAACATAAATAGGCTGTCAAACATAAAATATGTTATATATGGTAATTTTATATTAACTTCCAAGCTGGTCTATGTTACCCCATCAGGGCTGACATTAGGTGGTCTAAGTTCCCCCATTTGGGGGCGGCACCCCCCATTTGCAAACTATGACACTTTCCTAAAATTTGTGATTTGCATATGTAACTAGAAGAGTTCTACTACAATGCATCAAAACCTGGAGTTTACCAGGGGGTACTCTGACAGGCTTTAAATAATAGCTTTTTTTTGTGGGTCACATTTTTAATTTTTTAACCTATTAGATATGCAAGCTTTTTAAATCTTTCTATTGTGTTATGTAGCCTCAGTATTAGGCCTTTAATGCCCATTGACAAAATTTTTCTATGTCAAAGTTTTTGAGTTTTGGGGGTTTTTGTTAAAAAACGAAAAGTTGTCTAAGTTACCCCGCCGGTCTAAGTTACCCCATTTTACGGTAATTCATCTAGCGGCTGCCACCCACCAACCAACAGTAATTTTGAGGTTTCAAAATAAGTAGGGAATGCCCTACAGCTACTGAGCTACAGTCTTAGTAGCATTTTAACCCTTTCACAGGCAAGTTACCATATACGGTCACTTGAAATTGCTTCACAAAGAGACACATGGCAGCTAGTACTGGTTTGCCGTTTGTGTTTGAGGCTTCCTCCAGTTAATCACTAATTATCTGATTCTGACCATCATTCCATCCATAGCATCAACAGTCACCACCTCCACCTGCCATGCCAAAAAATTAAAATATGAGCATTTAAATGAAAGTTTCAATTAAGACAATGAAATTGACACTCTTTCCACAGTTTTCTAATACTAGTAGCCTAATAGGCAGAAGTATCAAATTATCAATATAGTCAAATGGGGTAAGACAGGATCGCAGCCTTCATGGGGTAAGAAAGGACCAGCCCATGGCATGCACTCTAATTGCACTGAATTTAATTTGACAAAAGAATATGTTAGAGCAATCATTGCCTGTCATTTCAGTGTTTGTGGCAACCCTCTTCTGCGAATAATGAATTTCTGGCTAATTTTCAAAGAAAACATATGTAAAGAAGGGTCACAAAATAGTTAACCCTGCTTTGGAAATACCGTAAGCTCTGTCTAATAACAAAAAAATTTTTGGCCAGGTTTGTGAATGTAGGCAGGTAACCTCAAGTAATAAGCAACTTTTGAGACATACTAGACATTCCTACCTGCTACCATTACTGCCTGACATGTATTATAAAATGGGGTAAAAAAGGACCNATTAATACTATTTCATATAATACTTCTAACTTTCTTCCATTCTTGAACGGGTTTCTGAAATTTTAATTTCTTTAAATTTCAATGCTGAATGCTTACCTGCACCCTGCAAAAATGTTCAAAACAATAAAAGGTAGATAACTAGATATACCTATTCCATTATTGCCAGAATATCTTCTTCTCTTCAATTCAATTTTAGAAAAAAATTTGCCTAGTAAGCTGGAGCAAAACTGAAAAATTGGGCAAAAGCCAACCAAAGGAGGGCCTAATCATTTGTTAGCCTTAATGCCTTAGGCTTATAGCCTAGGTAATCATGACAGCGGACAGCCTGACAGGCATGACAGCCTGACGGCCGACAGGCCACAGAAACTGATGACAGGCATTAAATAAATTAATAGTAGCATGTAGCAATATACCAAATGACCACTATTTTTACAACACTTCTCTTTAACTTCACTTCTTGTTTGTTTATCTGTCTGTCTGTCTGTCTGCTACAAATCTTATAATCAAAATTTAACCCTTTACGCCCTGGCATGACGAATTCATCACACCAGGGACTAGCTACCTTTTCCAACAATTTCACGTTTTCTGTCATTTTTTCGAAGAATTCACAAGAATAAAAAAGTCTTAGATTTATTTTTTACATATGTGTACCAAGTTTCAAAGTTATGTCAGTAAATAACCGGAATATAATTTCCAATTTCCAATGGGAATGTCTAATTTCTTATGGAAATTCTGTTTTGGTTACTTACTAACAGATAACTTTGAAACTTGGTACACATATGTAAAAGATAAATCTAAGACTTTTTTGTTCGTAGGAATTTTTTGAAATAAGTGAAAGAAAACGTGAAATTCTTAGAAAACCGCCAAAAAGGGGGTACCGTAAAATGGTGTTACTTTGACCGGCGGGGTAACTTTGACCATTTTTCGTTTTTTTAACAAAAACCCCCAAAACTCAAAAACGATTTGACATAGAAAAATCTTGTCAATGGCCATCAAAGGCCTAATACTGAGGCTACATAACACAATAGAAAGATTTATAGTATTGAGGTCGCCACAGCCTTAGGAGGTAAGTTTGCTACATGCCACACATCAGATATTAACATGGTATGAAATTCTACATGAAAAAATGCTACATGAATAATGTTAGACTGTGTCTAACTTATGAGCATGTTAGAAATGCTCTTGTTATTACCCAGCAAGGGACACATTTTATGAAAAATATTATATTATTTAGCAGAAAATAAAATCGAAAAACTTTGATAATTTATTTGAAATGTTTTTAGAAATGTGATGTAGTATATTAGTAACATCAAAAATGGAGACATCATCGAAGGAAATGAATCATGTCAATGATGTCATGACAACTACCAAACCAAAATTGAATAATTAGATATAGGTACGTAGTTTAGCTTCAAAAGTTACCCCTTTTAAAAAAATTTTAGCTTCTTCAAAGTTACCCCTTAGCTTCAAACCGGGCATTCTGCTTTGTTAGCAGAATGCCCGGTGAACGGGACACTAAATGTCCTTTTTCATGCCAATTGTGGTAAGCAGATTAGCCTA